AACCATTTGTTTAGAATGCCTTTAAGACCACAGCTTTGGGTTGGAAGGTTGTCAGAGACTCAAGTATCTTCACAAGGTCTGGAGGTGGTGTTGGCAGTACCTGGCTAACTTAGGAAGTTATCACCTCAAAAGGAGGACTATCTTTATTAACATTCTTCAGTGTTTTCTGTATGGAGATTGCCGTTTTTTGTTTGTTGGATAACACACAAACGTTTTGGTTTTCTTTGTAGGGCATTTAAATTTTGATGCAAAATTGTCAACCAAAGGACAGAGAAACAATTGGGAAAAACATGTTGAAGTTCTTCTTCTACCTGAACTGGAGGTAAGTGGTGAGTGGTGACTACTCCTTAGCCCTGTGTCCAGGAGGGGGTCCCATTCATCTGTACAGCACTGTTGGACCACTGTACTCAGGAAGGTCATTAGAGGCCTCACCTGGAGAAACCACTCCTTCTGCTATCTCCAGGTGTCCCTCCTATACTGCTCATAAGTTAGGCCAAGGATTATCAGGAGTTCTCACAGGGCAGGTGGCTGCTTGTTCTCTATTGCTTTTTACAGCAGGATGTGAAAGTAAGAGGCAGAGACCCTCCAGAAATACATCATCGATATCTGTATTAATGACTGCTCTGGTGAGAACATCACAGAGCTGACTATCCACAGCAGGACAGGAAAGTAAGGAAGCAAAAGGGAGGTGAAATAAAGGCCCCTAAAATAGTTTGCTCTGTTTGGGGAGGCAAAAACCCTATAAACAAAGAACCCCCCCAATCACTGTGAAAGACAGCAAAATCATGCATCCAGTGTGTGCAGGCAGATTCCTAAAGAGCCACTGGGGGGCCATGAGCTACCCAATTGTCTGTGACAATGTCTCACTTGCAGAATGCTGTGCCATTTCTTTATCCAGCATCTAGATAAGACCCTGCTGACTGTGAGCACACTCATCAGCCAGGATGAGCGCATCAGCTCTAGCCCTGTGGCCAAAATCATATATGGTGACCCTGCAAGCTTCTTGCCCCAGCTGCCCCAGGAAAGTGTGGTTCATTGCTCAAAGATTTGAAGCTGCAGGAAGAAGATCACAGTCGAGTACCTCCAGCATGTCGTGGAGCAGAAGAAAAGCAAGGAGGTGGTGCCCGTGCTCTTGCAGTTTCTACAGAAGGTGTGTCTGCTTCATGGGCTGCCCCCTTTTCCTGGAATACTTCTGCTGAGGACTGGGAGGCTCTGTGCCAAGGTTCAAAGTCATCATTCCTAGAGGCAGAACCCTAACCAACCTCATCAGCACTGTGATTCTGAATGCAAGACCTGTAGCACAAGTCTCAGGGAGAGCACAAAAGTCTTAAGACACATCTGCTGAAGTCAAAGATGAAATATGCACATGAATGGGGTTAGCAGTGATCTCTAAGGAACTTGAAGGCCAGGAGGGACCACCCTGGTCACTCAACTGTGACACCTTGTCTTCATCCCCAGAAGTTAAGCAGGTGGTTACCAGCAAGTACCTGGTGAACAGTCAAGAATGCACACTAAAACCAAACCAGAGCCCTCCCTGTGCCCTGCAGGCAGGAGGCAGCGTGCTGAATGATGGGGCTGTGGTATCTGCCAGGCCCAGAAACCATCCCCAGCTTTTACCCACTTGAGCTCTCCTGGGCCACAGTAGAAGTTCTCACCACCTCCCTCATGGACCAGTACCATGGCAGGGAGCAGAACGATTTGGAAATATCTGGTGCTCACACTAGAAAGAATTTTATGGTAGTGTTGTGATCTCTTTTTAAGACACAGTTTTATTTGACTGAGGATGCTGGATTCTGGATCTTCAGAACAAAATCCAGGAATCACACCAGCTACCATTGCCCCAGGCCTTGGTCTTTCCTTCCAGCAGCATCACACCCAACAGTGGGCCCAAGAGTCAGGTTTTAAAATTTTTTTCCAAATTATTTACTTTTATAAATTCATTAGTTATACACATTAATGGGAATTGATGCGATATTTCCATGTATGCCTATAGCATGCACTGATCTTGTCTCTAGGTCTGGCTTCACTTAAAATAACATCCTCCAGTTCTATCCATTTTTCTGAAAATGATAGGAGTTCATTCTTCCTACAGCTAAAATCATATTCTATTATGTATGTAAACCACATCTTTATCCATTCATCTGCTGATGGGCTTCTAGGCTGATTCCATGTCTTAGTTATTGTAAAAGGTGCCACATAAACATGGGTGTGCAGTACCTCTTTGATACGCTAATTTTCTTTCAAGTGGGATAGTTGAGTCACATGGTAGGTTTTTTTTTTTAGTTTGAGGAACCTCCATACTATTCTCCATTATGAGGTACTAATTACATTTCCACTAGCAGTATATTAGATTTCATTTTTCTCTTCATCTTTGTGAGCATTTGTTATTTTATGTTTGGGTTCATTTATTTTATAGGGTGGCATACTAGTGGCAATTGAAACGAGGGCCTTCTTGGGCTTGCTAGGCAAGAAATGCTCTACTAATTAGCTAAAGTCCCCATCTCCAGCTCCCCCAAATATGACAAGGTCTCACTAAGTTTCCCAGACTGGCCTAGAACTTGCTGAGGCTGGCCTTGAACTTGTGATCTTCCTGCCTCAGGCTCCTGAGTAGTTGGTATTACAGATGCCACCATGCCTATCTTATTTTTTATAACAGCCATTCTAACTGTGGTGGTATAGCGTCTCATTGTAGTTTTGATTTGCATTTCTTGATGGCTACTGATATTGAGCTTTTTTTCATATATTTGTTAACCACTTGTATTTCTTCTTTTAAGAAGTGTCTATTCAGATCATTTGCTTATTTTTAAATTGGATTGCTTTGATATTTTTGTTGTTAAATTTTTTGAGTTATATAGTCTGGGTATTTACCAGCTGTCAGGTAATGGTGGTTTTAGGGTCCTATCCAGAAAACCATTGCCTGTGCCAATGTCTTGGAGTGTTTCCTCTATTTTTCTGCTGACAGCTTCAGATGTCAAGTCTTACATCTGGGTCTTTGGTCATCTAGAGTTGATTCTTGTCAAACTGAGAGATGGTGGCCCAGCTTAGCCTTTGAGGAAGCTTTTCATTGGAGAAAGGAGTGGACTTGGTCTTGTTCATCCTACATCTGTCGTGTGCAGGGCATGTCTAACATATTGAAGGCCCTCCACTTGGTGAGAGGATGGGCTTGCCCCTTTCCCATTTGCAAGTTTCAGGGTATAATCATGTAAAACAACCCACTGACCAAACTAAACTACACAGAAAGTCCCCACCTGCCCCAAAATCTATACACCTCATATTGTTTCTCAATTAAATAAAGAAAGTGTTACTGAGCCCTCTTCCCTTTTCCAGGAGGCAGAACTAAGACTGGTGAAATTCTTACCTGAGATTTTGGCCCTGCAAAGGGATCTAGTGAAACAATTCCAGAATGTTCCAGAAGATGAATACTGTTCCATCAGGAGTTTTATTAGCAGTCACAGTTCAGGTACGACTGCTGCCTGCTCCAATGAAAGAACAGGACCATCCATGTGTCGTGGTTCAAAAGGATCATTCACGTTGGGTCATGAGGGTGGGGCTCAGATTCTAAGCTAGAACATGAGGCAAAATGCCAAATCCCAGAGACATGCCTTGAGCCACTGCTGTGGCTAGAAAGCCCTCACCTTCTCCAGCTTTCACACAACCTCAAACTTGAAATGTGGCATGCTACTGAATGTGAAGAAGGTGAGGGTCAGGTTCTTGGGAGCACACCTTGTGGTTTCTTGTCAGGGTAGTGCAGGGGTTGTTTCCATGGGGATCTTACCAGGTGTTTTGTTCAACAGAGGGGGTGAGGCAGCTATTCCACAACAGGATCACCATCTTCCTGCCCACGTGGAATGCACTGAGGCGGTCATTGAAGACCAATGGTAAGTGTTCTCCTCCATGTGGCTCTACCAGCACCCTGCTGTGTGTGTGTGGCAATTGCAACCTATTGATGGAGGTGCTGGGATACATGAATCAATCTCCAAAGTAATCCTCAGTCCTCTTGAATCTATAAATATGGAATAAGAATAGAGTTGAGAGCACTTGAAACTTAACAGCCAGGGACCAGCTCTATAGAAATGGCTGCCCCAGGCTGTGACCCAAATGCCTGGAGCAAAATCCCTCCGCTTAGGAATGATCCTGTCTTTTAAAGGTGAAATCAAGTTACCTAAAGAATACTGCAGCTCTGACCTGGATCTGGACACAGATTTTGAGGTCATCCTACCCTGCCGTCAGGGCCTGGGTCTCTGCTCAACTGCGTTAGTCAGCTACTTGATTAACCTTCACAATGAAATCATCCATATGGTGGAGAAGTTCTCCAAGGAAAACAACAGGTACTACAGAAGCCAACCATCCCTGCCACCAGGCTTGGCTGCAGACTCTGCCAGCAACAGCTCTTGTCCCCACTCTCTCAGCCTTCCTCAACAAAGCCCTGTGTTTACACATGATTTTCACTTGTTCACACTATGAAGGAAGAAGCAGGAGCATATGTACCAAAGCCTTAGGCCCCATACACCTGCCCTGGACCCCAAGAATTGTATCTTGTGTCCCTCAGCTATTCTGTGGATGCCTCAGAGGTCACTGACCTGCATGTTATCAGTTACAAAGTGGAACGAGACCTGATTCCACTGATTTTCTCCAACTGCCAGTATCAAGTGGAGCAAGGTGAGGAGACATGGCAGGAGTTTGACCTGGAGAAGATCCAGCAGCAGATTAGCAGCCACTTGCTCCAGGGAAAGCCCCGGCTCACCCTCAAGGTAGGCTGGGCCCTCTGCCAATGATTTTCTTGTGTCAGTCAGCCCTGTGGGTTTCAGGGTAAACAGACTTAAGTGACATCCCGGCTCTCGTCTGCATTATCTCTTCCCCACTGGTGGTCTGTGGTCCCTATGCCTTCTTTGGGCTGGGAAGTGTCCCCAGCTCTCTTCCATATCACCATCACCATCTGCACCTGTCCCCCAGGGCAGCCTCAAGTCTCAGTGGACTGGGTTTCCACTACAGTTAATGGTACCACCAAGAAAACCCATCACTGCTGCCACCCCTTCAGTTGCATATGTAGTTGGTGCCCAGAAACCACTGTGCAGACCTCCCCATTCCATCATCCTCCAACTGCCATGGCCAAGGCTTCACGTCAGAGTATTTAGCCTTTGATCCAGCTGCCCAGTGCCAGCAGCACCACTTCATCTTAGTTTCCCACCAGAATGCCACCATGTAGGAAGTATCAGTGCAGGCACCCCTGGAAAGGGGCAGTCATGAACCCCCACCCCCAGCCAGTCCACAGGGTGTAGACAGCATTACATGGCCTCCACCACACTCCCCCATCTGTCACAGAGGCCCTAACACCTGACCCCAGCCAGACCTTCCAGCTGTCTCCAGGCCCTTCCTTTCTTACTGCATCAAACCCTGTGACCTGCCTTCTGACTCCCTGAGCACAATGGCACTTCCACACTGTCCCTTCCAGTGGCTGCCCTCATCCTTCCAGGTCCAGT